CATAGATCTTGGAATAATTGGTAGGTATGACCTTGGAACTGTAGAGATTCTGCGTTACAGGCAGCTTGTAGGAGTTGCTCCTTGGTACGGAAAAAGTGGAGCTTGGCTATAATATCGCGTGACGGACCATCCGCGCGTCGTGTTGCTAACGCTCTGTGAACTCTATCCAATTCTAATCTGTCGATTGGGATAGCTAGGGCAAGCTCTTGGAACAGAGCTGTTATCGTTGATTGGACATCATCGATCGTTTCTGGAAGGCCACGGATACGTAGGTTTGAGCGCCGTGCTCGGTTTTCAAAGTCCTCCAGTCGTGTTAATAATGTTGCGTTTTTGTCATGCAGGAAATCAAGGTCGTCCGTATGCGTCTGAAGCGAGGCGTCAAGACCATCTACCCTCTGTTCTAGGTCCGCAGTGCGTTGTCCTAGTTCACGGATTTCCCTAGATAGCGTGGCAGTGATGCGGTCTGAGGTTTGCTTCAAAGCTTTGTGTAGCGTTTTTTCAAAGCGTGATAATAGGTCAGGAGGTGTAAGGTCGGGCGTCAGGGCTTGTGCAGGGACATTGGTTTCAGTGTCAGACTCACCCTCAGACGTGCAGGGATGGCTGGGCTGCGGAACCTGCAGGGCTGCATATGCCCCTGCTGCTTGCTTGCTTCCACGTGTTGGGGCGGTGGCCATCTTTGAGGAGGCCTTTGCCAGGGCCTCTTTAATAGTTTTGGTCGATGGGGGGACCTGGTGCCGGGGTGCCCCTTTGGCCATTGTGCTGCTTGTCAGGGAGGGGGGGCTGTTATACTGATCTCAGCCCCCCCTGCTCTCTCTTTCTCCTCAGCCTCGGTGAGCAGGCCTGTGCACAGCTCACAGCGGGGGGACAGAGTCCCCTGTCGGATTTCTCCGACTTGTTGCGGAGAATCCGCCGCAGACCAGGGCGGATCAGACCCAGGGATGATTGCCTTGGGGATTGGATCTCCTTAGAGTGTATTGCGGGCCGGGACCCGCTGCTTTGAGGTGCCGTCACCCGACGGGGAAACGGAGCCTCATCGGAACATGTCCGTCCCTCCGGCCGCGCATGCGCACTCCTAGTATCTTTTTTTCAACTAGATTAACTATGACACTATAGCTAAAAAAAATTATTGGTGTCATACCAATTGGTGTGGTACTGGCTCCAGAACTAAGCAGACACCATCAGATGGAAAGTCAATCAGCTCAAGGAACCACAAGCAATCCCTGCAGGAACCCTAGGATTCCAAGGAACTCTGGTTGACATTGGCTGGTCTATGTCGAGTGTTAGTTTCCATTTAAAGGGATTTAAATTCATTTACAGGATTACAGTAAACCTACAATTTCACTAATCAAGGGCAAAGTGACAGATCCTTTTTAAAGCTGACCTCTTCCACTACTGATACTTACCTTTCCTGCTTGATCCCTAGATAGGTAGTACTGTGTAAGCTCATTGTCAGCCTGTTTTGGAGCTTGCATCTGGTTCAAGACCTTTTCCATGTTCCCATGTAACAACTGGAGTTTGGAAGGTGAGGTGCAAGGAACTACATCACAGGAGGAATAGGAGAGGGGCACATGCTAACCCATACCCCTGGGGAATGGGGACTACATGGAAGACAAATGCCGAAAAAGGCCTGAATAGGCAAAGTGTCATGGTTTCTTTAAGGTTGGGGTCTGCATTACCAGGGTTAGTTCAATATTGAAGTTTTTTTTTTTTAGTTTTGGATAGAGTGGAGAGGTATTAGAACACCTGTCAGGTTTTTACTGCTGTATGTTTCCCCATTAAGGAAACTCGCTCACCCTCTCCTGAGAAGATACAATTTAGGGGGGATATAATCAACATGTATAAATACATAGGTGGTCCATATAGTGAACTTGCTGTAGACTTATTTAACTTTAGGTCATCACAGAGGACAAGGGGGCATTCTTTATGTGTAGAGGAAAAGAGAATTAACCTCCACATATGAAAAGGCTTTTTCACAGTAAGAGCTGTGAATATGTGGAATAGACTCCCTCAAGAACTGGTTCTGACCAACTCAGTAGATTACCTTATAAAAAAAAAAAAATTGCCTAAATGCACAAAATACTTTAACTGGATAATACCATTTATAATTTATTCAGGGATTACTTGATTGTCATCGGGGGAATCAGGAAGGAAATACATTTTTCCCCCACTAGAGCAAATTGAACCATGGGGGCGGGGTGCCTTCCTCTGAATGACTTGTGGCTATAGGGTTTTGTATATTGAAGTTTACCATTTATTTTTCTATTGCCATTATTTTATTGGTTGAACTGGATGGACTTGTGTCTTTTTCAGCCTAACTCTGTAGGTTTCTATTCATCCCATTTACCGTTATCACCAAGAGTGAAAGTAAAAGTATCCAAATATATGCAAAACATTGAGGTTGTCAAGCATATCTCCACATTCAACTAGAAATAAACAACAGAAAAACAAAATGAAAAGTATGTGTATCATTTATTAATCATACATTAATTTCCCTAAAAACAGTGTATAGGGGTAACTATGATCCTTACTGACTCACATATATAGAAATATTATTTAATATTTAATTATAAAATGGCTTTGTATACTCCATTTTGTCTCATCAGAGATGCTTCTGTCTATAAACTTCGTTTCAAGTTGTTTACTGCAAATGACACAAACACATATCTAGAGTGTAATTGTGCCAGCATGCTTGTGAAACATTTTATAGGGAGTGACCACCATTTTCATCTGTTGCTGTTTGATAAGAAAGCCTATATAAGCGGAGAACATCTCTATGACAGGCGGAACGCAGTGAGGCGAAAGACACTATATTTCCCATATACGTATATGCAATAGAAAATATAATTCAGAACCTTTTCTCATCTACAGGTAATTATTCAAGTTCCCTTTAAAACAGAGGAACCTGAGCAGGAGGTATAGTCCTCTCTATACAACAGGAAGTCCACACGCTATATAATGCTAAATAGGATAAAAATGACCTTCATGGTCAACCATATTACAAATGTGCATGTCTGACTTAGATGTAAAGCTGGTAAACAGGAGATAGTGACCAGCACTGGGACAAGGTCATTTAGTGCCCAGGGTGAACATACCAAGCGGCCCCAAATTTAAAAAAAAAAAAAAAAGCAGTAATCCGCATGCTTACCCCCTCCCAGTACAAATCCCCAAGTATCCATGGGGATTGCAGGAGCACTGCTGTGATAGAGGGAGGAGCTAGAGGGAAGAGAGAGCATAGCCTGCACCTCCTCCCAGCTCTCTCCCGATTTAGCTGGTCTCTTCCAGCACTCAGTTTACAGAAGTAGTGTCAGGAATGGACTTGCCAATAATGGTGGGACTCACCTGCCTTGTGGGCTGCAGTACCAGGGCTGGCCAGCGGGTGCTCTCAGCAATCAGAGACTCACCCCTGCAGTCAGCCAAACACCTGAAGCTGATTGCAGGGGTTGCATTTAAGGAATGGCCAGACTCACAGTCAAGGCCTTGGTGTGTGCTTCCATGGGCCCCTGTATCTTGTATTCCTGTTCCTGTCTGACTTGTTGCCGACCCTGCCTGATCCTGACCTCTGCTGACTTTTCCTGCTTGATCCCTGGCTTGTGACCCTGACCATTCTCTGCCTGACCCACTGCACTGCCCGTGAGTTACTGAACCCAGCTTGTGACCCCGACCACTCTCCCGCCTGTTCCTGGTACTCCGTTTGCCCGTTTGCTACTGACCCGGCCTACCTGACGACTCTTGCGTTGTATGTATTGTTATCTGTGGGTGGGTTGGTTTGGTTTGTTTGCACTGTGTTTATGTTTAGTTTTGCACTGCGTTTTGTATTGTTAGTCTTAATAAATTATATTGTTTATACCATATCTGAAGCCTGCGTTTCCCTGTGTCAGTCCACACACCTCTAGTCATACCTGGAGCCCTGACATTACACCAAGGCCCATCCTGACCAGAAGTGGCTGCACAGGGAAGCCATCTTGGCTTATTGTTGCTGGGAAGGATGGATCTTGATGAGGTGGTGTATTTATCTCTGCTAGTGTTTGATGACAAAGACTATGCTTATCAGACTCTGAAGGAGTATACCCGGGATCAACTACTAGAGTGTATAAGGATCGCTCATTGCCTAGTAGATCAGGGCACAGAGTTTTCTGAGGTGCAGCCATTGATCCAGGTTTGTGCTGAGTTGGCTCGGTCCTGTACCCCTGAAAACAGGAATGACTTTTTTCCCCCATTTAGTGTGGATCAAGTGGAATCACTGGTATGGTTATTGGAGGATGATCAGATTATTACTTCCATGAGCATTATGCAGCTTGTCCATCACATGTGCTTATGGATTGCATAAACGCAGTGCAGTCTTTGGTCAGACAGGCTATGTGTAAGCTGAGTTTTGTTCAACCAGTACTGCAGACATGGACAGATTTGTTGCACCCAGCCTCAGTCAGCTTGCAACATCATTCCTCTGCTCAAGGCACTCTTCCTGCATCCCCGACAGCACCCCCAGTATACTCTGCTAACTACCACATATCAGTCCCCTGCTCCCACTCGCTGCACCTATCCTTTCTTTAACCCTGTAAAGAAGTCCTCTGTAGCAACTGCTCCCTCCTCTGTTCCATCCTCCAGCTCTTCTTTCTCTTCAGCTGCTCCATTCATTTACAGACCTGCGTTTACTTACAGTGCTCCAGTAACTAAAACGAGAAAAAAGCGAAAATTATTTCCAACCAGTACCATCCTGCCAGTTGACTCAGAGCCCACTATCGTGCCTGGTGACTCGGTGCCCACTGCCTTGCCAGATGACGCGGTGCCCGCTGTCAAGCCAGATGACCTGATGCCTGGTGACCCGATGCCCGCTGTCGTGCCTGATGACTCGGTGCCAACTGTCTTGCCAGATGACTCGGTGCCTGCTGTCGAGCCAGATGACCTGATGCCTGGTGACCCGATGCCCGCTGTTGAGCCAGACGATCCAATGCCTGATGACCCAGTGCCCGCTGTCGTGCCTGGTGACCCGATGCCCGCTGTCGTGCCTGATGACCCGATGCCCGCTGTCGTGCCTGGTGACCCGATGCCCGCTGTCGAGCAAGACGATCCAATGTCTGATGACCCAGTGCCCGCTGTCGTACCTGGTGACCCGATGCCCGCTGTCGAGCCAGATGACCCGGTGCCTGCTGTCGAGCCAGATGATCCGGTACCTGATGACCCGGTGCCCGCTGTCGTGCCGGTTGACTCGGAGCTCGCTGTAGTGCCTGGTGACTCGGGGCCCACTGTCGTGCCTGGTGACTCGGGGCCCGCTGTCTTGCCAGATGACTCGGGGCCCGCGGTCTTGCCAGACGACTCGGGGCCCACCTCCCCGCCTGGGGGCCCGGTGCCCGCCGCTCCGCCTGGGGGCCCGGTGCCCACCGCTCCGCCTGGTGGCCCGGTGCCCGCCGCCCCACCTGGTGGCCCGGTGCCCGTCTCTCCGCCTGGGGCCCGTGCCCGCCGCTCCGCCTGGTGGCCCGGTGCCTGCCGCTCCGCCTGGTGATCCGGTGCCCAGCCCGATGTGCCTCTGTCTGGTGCCCAGCCAGATGTGCCTCTGTCTGGTGCCCAGCCCGATGTGCCTCTGTCTGGTGCCCAGCCCGATTTGCCAGTCTTTGATATCCCGTCAGTTACCGGACCCAGGCGGTGGAACATTTTGCCCAGCTAGGACTGTTTGGAGCGTCCTGAGGCCGCTCCTTGAGGGGGGGGTACTGTCAGGAATGGACTTGCCAATAATGGTGGGACTCACCTGCCTTGTGGGCTGCAGTACCAGGGCTGGCCAGCGGGTGCTCTCAGCAATCAGAGACTCACCCCTGCAGTCAGCCAAACACCTGAAGTTGATTGCAGGGGTTGCATTTAAGGAATGGCCAGACTCACAGTCAAGGCCTTGGTGTGTGCTTCCATGGGCCCCTGTATCTTGTATCCTGTATTCCTGTTCCTGTTCGACTTGTTGCCGACCCTGCCTGATCCTGACCTCTGCTGACTTCTCCTGCTTGATCCCTGGCTTGTGACCCTGACCATTCTCTGCCTGACCCTCTGCACCGCACTGCCCGTGAGTTACTGAACCCAGCTTGTGACCCCGACCACTCTCCCGCCTGTTCCTGGTACTCCGTTTGCCACTGACCCGGCCTACCTGACGACTCTTGCATTGTATGTATTGTTATCTGTGGGTGGGTTGGTTTGGTTTGGTTGCACTGTGTTCATGTTTAGTTTTGCACTGCGTTTTGTATTGTTAGTCTTAATAAATTATATTGTTTATACCATATCTGAAGCCTGCGTTTCCCTGTGTCAGTCCACACACCTCTGGTCATACCTGGAGCCCTGACAAGTAGTGATGCCGCGATCATTACACCATCATAAACAAATGTATACCATGAGTGAAAAATTATTTTACAAAATACAAAGACTGCCTCTGATGGACTGTAATATGGCGGCCACCATGCATATATTTTGGGGGTTGAGCTCCCTTTGGCGTATGGTTTTACCAGTGTATATAGTCTATGTGTAAGGGACCTCTAGCACTCCACTGGTCCGGTTTCCCCAGAGCGCGGAGTCTAAGTCCCGGAGCACTTGTTCACCAGGGCCCCTGATGGTGGGGATGGACTTGGAGCGCACCGAGACCAGGTCGCGACTACTGGGTACATTCACCAGTGGTAGAGGCGTCCGCCCGAGGCTCCCGCAGGGTAAGAGCCTGATATGAGGAGGTCGGGAGATCCCGACGGGATGGATGAGCAAATGCAGGGTCAAACAAGCCAAGTCGGGAGCCGTGGGGTCGGTGCGGTACAAAGCAGCAGGCAGAGAATAGTCGGGTCACACGCCAGGTCAGCAACAGTAGATCAGATCCAACAGGGGGCATCCAGGAGAGAGGTCAGGCAAGCCAAGGGTCAGAGCAGGAGAGTACAGCACAGTCAGGGACAATCCGGGTCAGCAACAATCAGAATTCAGGTATACACAGGATCAGGAACATAAAAAGACCAAACGGCAACCAGTGACAGCTCAGGGGGATTTAAATACCACGCCCTGCGCTGTCATTGGTGCCAGGCGCGCACCCGTGGATCCTAGTGCGCATGCGCGAGTTCCGTTGCCGCAGCCGGCCCGGACCTAGCGCCCGCATCCCTGTGCAAGGCAGCGCACTGCGCCTGCACCGGGACCAGCGCCGCGGCGATCCCTGACACTATGAGTGTATATAGTCTTCTATGTCACACTGCACCGCTATCTCCGTTGCTCCAGTGACAGCGTCCATTAGGGCGAAACACGGCGGGTGGAGACTTAGCATCATTATGCCCGCCGGGGCACAGGATGCTTTGCTTTTGATGGCTTCTTGTTTTTTAATGTTTGTGAGTATATTTTTTTATTTTATCAATAAATGTTTTTTGCATACTGTACCATGAGCGATTCCTCTTTTTGTGGATTTGATGATTGTCATATACGATCCTGGTTGAATCACAAGTGAGATATCGAGCATTCACAACAGAGGTGTATGGCCACGGGATTCATGGATAATGATCCATCCATCTGGGATTGATTCTTGCTAAAGCGTTGATTGGAAGGTCTGTGCTTCTGTTTATATATGTTAGTGGCAAGCATGGTGAAGACCTGAAGCATACGTCACTTTATTTTTTGTCATTTGCTGCACAGATGAAGCACTGATTTACTTTACACATTTTTTGGTGACTGGAGTTTAATATCATTCTGTTGTTTACACATGCATTTGCACTTCTTGTAAAATAATTTTACACTCACGATATACATTTTTTATGATGATGTTTCATGTCCTTTTGGCACTTTATTGAATTATTTTTGTCATATTTTTATGGTATTTATTAATTTATTATCAGGTATATGAGTTATATTTGATTTTTTTAACAGCACAACACATTAGATTTATTCAATTTGTATTGTGGTGGGAACACTGTACATAGTGAGTGCAGCTGTTAGATTTTCTCACTTGTATATTCAGTTTAATCAGCACACAGAGGGCAGGATATTAGGTTTAGAATTCATTGTGATACACAATTGTCCTGTCCAGTGCTTCTTTTTTTACCACCCAGTATTATGCATATACGTAGGGGCGATGTATTTCTTATGCCAGTTCTAGTTATACACACCTGAGGACAATTCACTAAACTTTCCTGGGTACTTGGCACTTACACTTAGCAGGGGATCCTAGAATTTAGTTGCAAAAATTCATGCACAGAATATCTGGCTTTACAAAGGAGCTGGATTTAAAACGCGTTGCCCAGCATCCTCCCACACCACTCTACAACCCTGGAGAACTTCTATCTTGACAACAGCAGACGGAGAACCAGCAGCTTCAGTGATACCCCTTCCAGAGCTCTCCTTTCCATCCGTCAGCTTTTTGACAGCTCCCTCCACTGGTTCATGTGGCTCTGCCGCAGGCCAATGGATGCTCTGTTCACATATCTTGTAGCCTTCATTCTGGGACCCCAAGCTGAACAAAATGTCACTGTATTTTTTCTAAGAGATTAATTCCTGTACCATCAGCTCTACCTAGTGGCCAAAAGCAACATAGTTTTCCCTTTGAGGTATTTCAGAAAACTAAACTATACATTTTGGCCAGCAGAGGGAGCTGACAGTACAGAGATTTCTCTATAATAATATGGTGACATCTTGTTCAGTTTTCACAAATGCTTCTGACAGAATAATGTGCAGTTAAGTTGGGTTTTTTTTAGTTATCTAAGTCCTTTTTGTTATTATTTATTTTATTTTACTTTATCGCAGTACATCATTGCCGGATCTCTGACAGTTGCAGCTCAGAAAAAACCCAATATCTGCTTGGTGAGTTTTTATTTTTTACATAGCCAGAAAGTTACATTGTTTTTAGGTGTGTATAAATGTTCTCCAAATATTGCGAAAATGATTATGTAGGTGAGCTAGGCTGATTCACCATAAGTGAAAAAAGCCTAAAAAAAATGCAGCCACCATGTCTAATGTTTGCAAAGTGTTAAAGCGGCATTAAACTCAAAACTGAAAATGTAATATATTGCAGCTTACCAAACATTTTAAATAGGGCTGTTTATGGTATTGTTGTATCATTGGTTTATTCTTCCTGCTTTCACTTTTGCAGATCAAAGGCTCTCTGTCCCTGAACATCATTAGCTCCATTTTCAGCATGGTAGCTGTGATCTTAAACATCATCGATTTCTTAACCAATCAGTGCTACAGCAGTTACAGTTACAATTACTATGGTGGGGTTTATTATGACTATGACGCTCAGAGGAGATGCCAACAGCAACTTGTAAGAGTTATTCTTGTGATTATAATATATTTATAAATTTATAAATTTATATGAAGCGTTTTATATATTGTAATTCCTTTACTATAATCACTAAAAATATGTATACCGATTCAAATAATAGTATATATTATACTCCTAAAATGGGCAAGGATACATACATATAATATAAAGTATAAAATAGCAGTCCGATGCTCAGTTTCTTTTCAGTAATGCAGGCCATAGACAGGGCAAAAACCAGCCATTTTTTTTTTAAACTAAAAATCAGTCATTCAATCGGCCGACGTTACCACCAACGGTGAAAAAAAAAAAAAAAAAAAAACGGCCAATTTTTGTCCCGTCTACGGCCGGCAAATATAATAGCGGAGTTTCTTCTTCTTCCTCTTCCTCATCTATGGCCTACGTTGGCTACGTATGGCTATGTTCATACCTATGCAGTTTTGCGTTTGATTGGCTTCTGCAGTGTGTTTTGTGTTTTTGATGCATTTTGCATTTTTTTCCCAACTTGGGCAGATTAAAATGCAAAATACACCAAAAACGCACTACATGCTTTTCTCTGCAGATTTCCATTGAAGTCTTTAGAACCAAAAATGCAATGTTTTGCATTTAAACAAGTCCCTAACCCTTTCCAAAAAATACATCGGGTGAAAATGCAGAGATGTGAACCTGTCCCATAGGAAATCATGTTAACTAGACTGCTGTGCATTTCTGCAAAATGCATAGGTATGAACCTAGGCTTACACCATGTAGATCCTGACCCTCAGGGGTTGATTTACTAAAACTGGATAGTGCAAAATCTGGTGCAGCTCTACAAAGAAACCAATTAGCTTCTAGATTTTTCTTTTGTCAAGCTTAATTGAACAAGCTGAAGTCAGAAGGTGATTGGCTGCCATGTACAGCTGCAGAACACTTTGCACTCTCCAGTTTTAGTAAATCAACCCCTCAGGGTCAATATCCACTATATTGCCAAAAGCATTGGGCCGCCTGCCTTTACATGCACATGAACTTTAATGGCATCCCAGTATTAGTCCCGTAGGGTTCAATATTGAGTTGGCCCCGCCCCTTTGCAGCTATAACAGCTTCAACTCTTCTGGGAAAGCTGTCCACAAGGTTTAGGATGGTGTCTATGGGAATGTTTGACCATTCTTCCAGAAGCCCATTTGTGAGGTCAGGCACTGATGTCGGATGAGAAGGCCTGGCTTGCAGTCTCCACTCTAATTCAACCCAAAAGGTGTTCTATGGGGTTGAGGTCAGGACTCTGTGCAGGCCAGTCAAGTTCCTCCATCCCAAACTGGCTACTCCATGTCTTTATGGACCTTGCTTTGTGCACTGGTGTGCAGTCATGTTGGAACAGGAAGGGGCCATTCCCAAACTCTTCCCACAAAGTTGGGAGCATGAAATAGTTCCAGTGAAGGGATATCTTAAGGCGTCAGCAAACCAAGACATTTTGGACTAAGGGGCCAAGCCCAACCCCTGAAAAACAACCCCACACCATAATACCAAACTCTACACTTGGCACTATGCAGTCAGGCAAGTACCGTTCTCCTGGTAACTGCCAAACCCAGGCATGTCCATCATTGACAGAGAAGTGTGATTGGTAACTCCAGAGGACACGTCTCCACTGCTCTAGTGTCCAGTGGCGGCGTGCTTGAACTTGGTGATGTAAGGCTTGGCTGTAGATGCTCGGCCATGGAAACCCATTTCATGAAGCTCTCTACTGTATACACTGTTGTTCTGCTAATCTGAAGGCCACATGAAGTTTGGAGGTCTTTAGCTCTTGACTCTGCAGACAGTTGGCGACTTCTGCGTTTTGTGCGCTTCAGCATGCGCTGACCCCACTCATTTTACGTGGCCTACCACTTGGTGGCTGAGTTGCTGTTGTTCCCAGTTGCTTCCACTTTGTTATAATACCACTAACAGTTGAGCGTGGAATATTTAGTAGCCAGGAAATGTCACGGATGGATTTATTGCACAGGTGGCAACCTATCACGGGACCATGCTTGGAGTCACTGAGCTCCTGAGAGCGACCCATTCTTGCAGAAATGTTTGTAGAAGCAGTCTGCATGCCTAGGCGCTTGATTTTATACACTTGCTGCCATGGAGGTGATTGGAACACCCGAATCCAATGATTTGGAGGGCTGGCCGAATACTTTTGGCAATATAGTGTATCATTTTCTCATCCTCTTTCAATAGCCTCCTAATCATAATATATGAAAATAATATGACTAAAATTCTGTGCTGTTGCACATATAATGACTGCAGTGAGTATACACAAAGAATTCCTAGTGCAATAAGTGTACTACGCAGATGCATATCACTCCTATCAACAAACACAAATAAATATATTAAACTAGTTTCCGCATCAATCAAAATAAACAATTGTCATTATTGGTAAGTAGAAAAAAGTGAATAACAATAAATCAAATAAAAGATTAAACGACAGTATTTGAGCAGAGCAACAGTCCTTTCATGATAGTGATTATCCACACTGTCTAGATCTGTGCTCCAAAATCTCCTCCCGATAGACCCAATTAATGCCACCTCCAACACCTCTGTGCTCACAGAACTCACACCTCAGTTTAAACGCATGTATGCCTATTGGTTTACAGCAGTGGTCTCCAAACTTCTGCCCGAGGACCAGGTGTGGCCCTTTGCTTGCTTTTGCCTGGCCCTTGAGGCACTATTCCAACCACTGACTCCAATGATGGGGCACTATTCCTATCACTGACACCAACAATAGAGCATCATCCCTCCCACTGATACCGGTGATGCGGCACTATTCCTCTCACTGACACCAACAATTGGGCATCATCCTTCCCTCTGACACCAATGATGGGACACTATTCCTCCCACTGACACCAACAATAGGGCACAATTCCTCCCACTGACGCCAATGATGGGGCACTGTTCCTTCCACTGACACCAATGATGGGGCACAATTACTCCTCTTACTGACCACATACACTGTCTAATTTTGTAAATCCTTCTGACCATCAAGTTTGAGACATTGTTATCTCCCTCTAATATTAGGGCATTTTCTACTCCCACTGGCCACAATCCGGCCCTCCTAAAGTTTGAAAAAGACAGTAAACTGGCCCTTTCTTTATGAATTTTGGAGACCCCTGATGTACAGCATCAGATCTCCTCCTTCTAGTAGCTCTTTCAATTCTAGTTACCCACATACACTTTCATTGCTCCAGTGGCTGATGGGCCACAGTCCCTTTAAGGCTCACTTTCCAGTAACCAGTCTCTAGGAATCTAACCCAAACAAGGGGAAGAGAAACAGCTTCCAATGGTGTAGTATAAAAGTACTGTTGCATTTTACTAAAAAGGTATTGCACCTACATATTAAAATATCAAATAAATGCCTGTAAAACAAATAAATACAGGCCGGTTTGCGGTTCCATGTGCATGACTTCCAGTCTGCCGTCACCGTGTCACAGTGTCATGGTCACATGACTTCATTAGAGGGCATCAGTTTCCCCTGATGAAGTCATGTAACTGTGACACAATGTTGTAAGTATCCTTTTGTGAATACAGAATTGTAATAATACAGGCCACCCTGTGCTCTTTAAATCACATCTATTGATGCATCTATCCATCGCTCATCACCATACAGCATAGAAAAGAAAGAGAGGAAGCCTCCTATAGGGCAGTATGTTTAATTCAATTAAAAATTTCCAACCACAATAGGAAGCACATTCACATATATTATCTGAGTCACAGACTCATTACCAGCATTTTTAGCAAAAGACTCCTGGCATCAGGCTACAGACATCTCTTGGGTCCACTCTAAGCATTACGCCACTATGCAACGTGGCTTCATCAGGGAAAGAAAACAGTAGTCATATTCAATGTCTGTGCACCCAATACGCAACAAAAAGATTCCATAGATCCCTTCTGGATAAACTCCAACCTCACCTAATATTATGCAGAGATTTCAAAGACGTTATTGATCCTACATTTGACTCCTTTAATACACACAGTAAAAGAACTACTGCTCTCCCTTCCCTTCACTCAGCAGATCTTTAGTCCCTTTCTGTATCATGTAGGCACTGTCAAGGATCACATACATTATATTCCCATACTCAAAAAGCATTCTCTGAAACTGATCTTCTTCCAGTCAACAAATATCTTTCTACAATCTATCAATGATGCCCACATCATATACATCACATGGGCTGACCATATCCTGGTTTCTATCAAACATTTAGTATCTTTAGCAAATAAATCCCAGTCTATTTTGAGGTTAAACATGTCCCTGCTTACTCATCCTTCATACTGGGAGAAGATCAAGTCTGAACCGAATTCTTTCAAATTAAAAAGTGATTCTAAAGGCTTATCCCCCTCCCCAAAAAAAAACAACACAATAATCATGCCTATACTTACCTGCTGTGTGCAGTGGCTTTGCATAGAGCAGCCCGGATCCTCCTCCTTCCCGGTTCCCCCGCAGGCTCTCCTGGCCACTCCTTCCTGTCCAGTGCCCCTATAGCAAGCAGCTAGCTATGGGGGCACCCGCTGCTCTATGTGTCCATTCACGCGGAGGCCCCACCCACTCTCCCTTTTCATTGGCTCACTGGTTGTGACTTGACAGCAGTGGGAGCCAGTGGCTCCTGCTTCTGTCTCAGTCAATGAAAAGAGGGAGCCCCAGGATAGACGAGGCTCCAGTGCACATCGCTGGATCAATAGGGGGCTTAGGTGAGTATTAGGGGGGATGCTGAACACAGGTTTTTTACCTTCATGCATTCTAAACCTTGAGCCTTTAGAACCAACCACTTTAACGTTGGTGCTGTATCAGATGCTGAAAAATTGTGGAATACGCATAAAGCTTTTATTAGAGGGCTGCTTATCAAAAATTGGTGCCCAGGAGAATAAATTCAGGTGAAATATTATTTCCCAACTCCTGAACGATATCAGGATGACTAAATGCCAACCCTAAACCGCAGGATGAGGCAACATTCTGAAAACCCAGATTGCAGTTGAGCTCCCAACGCCATAGAAAC